CCTATCAGTAAGAGTTGCAGTAAATTTTTCCAACTTTTTATTATAAGTATCTTATTTACACTATTTTTAGTTTGAAAAGAGTAATTTATTTTCGGTTAAAATAACGTTCCAAAATAAGGAGTTGAATAAAAATGCTAAATTACATCATAAACTTCTATAAATGGACCTTCACTGATAAATTGATGATGAATTTCAAACTATTCAGTAACACAAAATTACTCAATCAAAAGCACTAATTTAATTTTAGAATTGCGCATACCCCTCTGATGTCTCAATTTAACGCAGTGATGGGACGTATGTCCATTATAAGTCACTTACCTAGTGTAATACCGGTAATTGGTGACCGGCACTCAATTACCTGTGACTAGTGTTGTTAATCATTTGCCGGTTATGAATGATTCCACCTCGTTTGTTCTAGTTCGCCGCACATGTGCATTTGTCCATTGGTACGAGTATAGTGTGAAAGTCATTAGAGCGAATTAGCGGACACGGGACAGGATTTCTCGAGCATTGCAACTCTTTAAATGTTTGTTGTGTTGCATTGAAAATTGATAGCGATCAAAAGCAGTTAAGACTTAATTATCCTATAGGAATATAAACATCATTTATTAATGAATAGTTGCTACTATTAATAAATTGTTATTCTCTTTATTAATGAATACCTATACTATTTGCATGTGTATTTTTTTTAAATAAAGATCGTTTCATGATCGTAAAGCTTAAATTTAATATTAAATAGGAACAATTATTGGTCAATTTTTCGACTTCACTTTTATTATTGAGTCGCTTGTTGTTTACTTTTCATAAAAAATTCGTGCTATCGATTCTTGCTCTTGATATATATACAAAATAATTGTACATATATCTGAATCTATTTCTTCTATTTCATATATTATGCTAATGATCTTGTCTCTTTATCGAAATTAGAGATCGAATAACATAAAATCTTTTTTATTGTGGCTATTAATTTATCCATTTTATGTATTGTTGATTCGATAAAAAGACTTGCCAAGATTGTTTACTAAATATGCCAAGTAGCTATCAAAACTGTTTGTGGTTTTCTGAATTGGGTCAAGTCTGTTTTATTTTGGGTTTTTATTTAGTACTTTTTTATTCACGACAGTGTAATTTGTCATTTATCACAATTGTTTTATACTAAACTAGATATTTTATTATCTGGTACTGGTCGTTCACTAGCGTCATTCCAGATACCAATATTATTCTTTTTATGTAACTTAGAATTATTTTTACTGTATGTATGTAACTGTGAGTTTTTCATTTTCTCGTTAGATCATTTTGTTTGCGTAATACAGACTCTACCGTTTAGTAACATCCGTGACATTAATAAGAAGCCACAAGTATCAGTCACTGTCCAGATAACATTTAACAGATTTATATCGGTTTGACGTATAGTGGCGCAGCACTAGTGTTATATACGTCTTCCTCGATTGTTGTAATACGAAGGCCGTACACGTGCATTTCTTTAGTGAATGAATTTTTATTTCATAATATTACCATCACAATTGTTGCGAATGATAGAATCATTAAAGGAACATCTTCATTTCTAGAACTAGAATGAACTAAAATACAGTCTTTACATACATTTATTACCTAGTCATAGATGTGAGTGAGAACTACATTGGACAGTTGATACTCTCTATTATCAAAAGAGCGTGGGTCAAAAAACAGTTATAGAGTATTAAGAGGCTCAAATTTATTTTATCCTTTATGAATTATTGAATCAGGAAATTCTATTGCATGGGTATGTTCTAGATTCCCCACATATCTAGCGACTTCGACATCATTCTGTACGTACAGTAATAATATCTACTTAATAATTAAATATACAAATATATTTCAGTATCATTTGTAATGTTTTCACTTATTAATAACTGGCACATTTCCACGAAAGCCTTGCTTTATACGAGACGTTACTATATCTACTCTAATAGTTCCACTCGTATTTTCTTTTAAATATTTTACGTTTATAATTTGTGCTTATTTCGGAAAATATTTTTGTAGTGGTAATTTTCAAATATCACACGCTTTTTATAGCATGTATTGACAATATATATGGACTGTAATAAATGAAAATATTTTTTGTCTAAATAATATATTTAGATTGTTTGTGACCTTAAACGAATTAACGATTAGCACGATTATTAATCGGTAATTCGATTGGGATCGATTAGATACCCAACGGTTATTATAGTAACACTACACTGTAATTTGCTGCCAATATCGTAGTTTTTTTTTGTATACAACTGAGGCAAACAAGCACATGACTCACCTGAAGGCACGCAGTTACAGTAGCCTATGAAAGCCTGCAATACCTACAGGAATAATAATAATTGCATATTAATGGATTAGACGTATTACTCTAATAAGAAAGGAACATATTCTCATTGAAGATCTAATATGGTGGCGGTTCCATGAAGAGATGTCTCAATTTGGGCATTTACATTAAGCATCTGGGGTCATAATTAGTAAAAAGAAAAAAGTTAATTTTAAGAGATGCATAGTAGTACAGTAACACAAATCAGGTGTAAAATGTAAGATATATACAGTATCTGACTATTTCAAAAATGGTGAATAGAATATAGGAATAGACATATAAATAATCATATTGTACGTCGTGTAGTGTCATCATACAAATTTGTAACAAACATCATTTATTATAGACATTAACTATAGCAGATTGGATTAAAAAAATAAAACAAAAGTAGCCAATTAATAAATTTACGACTAAACAAAACGTAATAATATATTAATAACGAAGCCCGAACGTTTCCACTGAAAAATTACACTTCTACATGTTATGTTTATTGTTATTTATATTTCATACTTATTTCAAAGCAAATTGAGTCTTAATATATTATATGAAAATACAATTTCGAAAGTCCCCATGTGAACGTGTCTGCGTAACAAATTGCTCGACCGATGGCATGCCTCTGCAAACTTATTTGAGTCTGTTGCGAGAATAGCGTGGTCGAGGTTCAAGAAAGTATAGCGATGGATGACTTAAAAAAAGAATCACGTCGACTTTTAGTTGAGAGTTAATTAATATGGATTGCAGGTTGGCAGCCTTGGATTGTTAACTTTTATAAAGTCAAAGGCAAAAAGACAGACAGCCATTTCTGTTATAATTTCATGTTCAATGAATTATAGTTTTTATTTTATTTCTTCTAATTTATCTCTAATATCTTCTTCAGTATCTAGATATTGATGTATGCAACAAAGAAGTTAAGACTTTAAGAACTTCTGCTCAAAGCATTTCATCGATTTCGGTAATCTATTTTACCAGGATGATGTCCTGAAGATGATAAGTCAATAGGATTGAGATTATCTTATACTTTAGAGAAACTGGAATAAAAAAGGCGCAGAACTACGTACTCGTAGTTTTTATTGTTGTAATATCACCGTTTACTATATGCAAAATTTCGTAATTACCTTGAACTCTGCTTCACAATTCAATCAAAATGTTCTCAAAGTTGCTATAAAATCAAATACGCATCTTTTTAATTTTAAATTTCAAATTCGAACCGTACAACACATAAATTTTAATATATTTTCATTTGTTTCATTTAATTAATTTAATGATATTCTAAAAATATATTCATGAAGCAAAATGCAACTTTAGTTATAGGTCTTCGATCGAACGATTCAACTTCAATGATATTTGAATGATTTTATAATCGGGTTAGGATTTGATTCTTAAACCGTCAACGCTACTTCAGGTTAGTTCGTTACTTTTTAATACTTAAGTGCATTGCACTCTACGAGATATGACCATACCTATAGCTAGGTGGTTGAATGGACTTTAAAATAGAATAATGTCATTCACGACTAGAAATATTGTGATAAAGACCACCGTGTCGCCGCTCAGCGTGTTATCTCCGAGCCCCTGACAGCAGTGGCATGTGCGGACGGAGCATCATCAATCGTGCTCACGCACATGTCATCTCCCGCGCTTTTCACCCATTTCTCATCCGATCCTTGACTGACAGTATCAACTCACCTCTTGCTATAGACAGCTATATGTACCCTACACTATATATCGAGTTAAAATTAAATGTGTGTGAATTTAGTGCTGTTGGGAAATTAAAAACTAACACTAATTGTGTGCTCTCATTTCATCGAACTACGAGATGTTGGCATCTAAGAAACGTTCATCTAAATTTGGCATTAGGCAACATCCGTAGCGGCCATGACGCGGGGGCGGGGCTAGGACCGCGGCTGCGCGCGATTGGCCCCGAGATTCGCGCGCCGTGGGAACGTTCCACGTTTGAATCTTTGAATATTGCGCGCTCAGGGGCCTTATTATTGAATTTCTATAGACAGATGAATGGTATATAAATTTCTTGGCTATCCGCATAGATCTCAATCGTTTGAACGGAACGAACCAATTTGAATAAAGGAAAAGGAATTTTAATGTAATCAGTAGTCATTGTAAACATGTGTGTGCTCACCTAATTATTATGATTCCACAGAATTTACAAAATTTTAGCACGTGCTTGTAATTGGGACAGGGAGAACAACGCAATGGAATGTTGCGCATGTGAGTTGGCGGACGCGCGGTGCTCGGCGACAGCGCGCGTCACGCTCCGGCCGGCGCGGCGCCCGGCGGGGTAATCTCGCTAATTACAGATAAAATCTGCACTTCGGAACGCAACCTACAACGGCAAATCCGCGGAACGCTCTCACGTGCCCCACAAAAATGGAGCCATGCAGAAATGTACAAAAGAAAAGAAACGAGCTTCCGCATACAGGTCGGACGGAAGCTAATTACTTTGAATTATGCTGCTTATTACTGAAGACGATTCGGCAACTTGCGCATACGAGTACAGCGCCGGTCCTATACTTTTTTGGAGAATTTTGTTATGCTCCGCGAACCTCACTTTGACGATATGTTTGCTTTTTTTTTTGCTGGCGATGGCGACATTTCAATGCCTTCATATTATTTTCTTTGCCGGCATCAACGTTGTGTTTTTTGTTCACAGGTGTGGTTTCAGAACGCGCGGGCGAAATGGCGGCGAATGGTGACCAAGCAAGAGAACAAAATGGCGGACAAATGCTCGCCGGACGGTTCTCTAGAGATGGACATGTATCACGGACCCATGGGGTCCATACAGTCTCTGCCCCCGCACAGTCCTCCGTACAGTGTGATGGGAGGTCCACCGAGTCCAAACTCCATGGATTGTCCATAGCCTCAGTTTTGCGCTTTATGAGCGCTTTAGAATTGAACATTGTGACCGAGAGTGCGTCGAGGATATACTATCTAATGTTATGGTGTAGAAAACTAGTGGAAGTCTTATACTGTTAGTGAATGGTATCCCGATAGAATATGATATACAAATAATAGTGGCCGTCTGTTAAACGTATTTATCGTTTCAACTAAACTAAATGTCAGCAAAACATTATTAAAAAAGACTTGCAGTGATTTAAAAGATCCATAAATTAGAGTGTGAATGTAAAGTAGGTACTTAATTACTTACATTGTATCGAAGCCACTCACTATCACTACAATGAAACATCGTGATATTATAAACATAATTTACGAATTTTTGCAATAACACGATACTAAATTCAAAATTTCCTATACGATAGTAATATTATGGTTAATGTTTAAGTAACGAATTAGAACATTGTGAATATTCGTCCATCTCACAATGTTACATATTGTGATCATGTTTAATATAAATGTACTAATTGCTTGATCATTTATGATCATGCATGGTTGTGCTTTAGAAGGATATTGTTCCATTATTGTGAAAATTAAAATGTTTATCGGATTTATTTGAACGAAACATACCCGAGTTACTTTTTTCGGTTCCACGAACTAAAAGTATGGAGAGTTTTTTTTTTTATTAATATATACTATTTATTTATTGAACATTGATATTTAATGTAGACTAAGCGTAGCTTAAGAGAACATAGGTAAATATGTGAAAATTTCCATAGAATAATGATTAGGTTTATTTTAGTGCTATAATGTAAAAGTGTAAGAGATTGACCCGAATATGACAACGGGAAGACGTTTGAATTAAAAATTTTACGTTGCGGAAATACCTAATTTGTTTTGTATTTTACATTTATTATCTATTAATTAGTAGTAAGCCTTGCCTAAGTATAATTACTCTGGCTAAGTACACGCACTGTTAGTTCCTTTTTTGTATAGAATTAATATACATTTATTACATAATAATAATCAACAATAAATCATAATTGTAGAAAACATTGTAACATATTCATTTGTAATTTAAAGTAATGAATAAAACACTATCCAAAACAATGATAGCTTGCGTCAAATGCTATTATTTGATTTGAATTAAATCTGCATTACCTATTACACCTGGATAATTTATTCATGTGACTAAAAATTATAAAGACCTGTTAATAAAAATATTCCAATTTATAAATATTTACTTTTATTTTCCTTTAATATCCTTGGGAGCCCTTAAATTATAAGTTGTCCCGCATGTAGGTAATTGAAATGATAAGTAGCTATAAAAACTTCGCATTAATAAAATTGATCTTGATCGTGTCTGTTCGTAATCCAAACTAAACTAACACACAGCGCTTAATTTATTTTTAATTAAAACTCATTTATATCAAAATATTTCATGCGATAGGAATCTAAGGCGTGTCATAAATTACAAATGCAAAGCCTAATACAAAACAAATTACCGAGTCGCGGGTGCGTTTCCAACTAGCGCGAGTACGAAATAGGACCCCTACGCACACACACGTACACATTGCTTGTTTTAAGGATTGCGTTCGGAAGTTGAACTTTAGAATTACGAGCTGTCACATAGGCGCGTTCAACGGAGAGCCCTGAGTTATGTTGTTTTAATTAAAACAATAAATAAGGTCGAAAACCGGCAGCTGAGCCGTTGGGTGGTCCCCTCGAATTCCTTTTTCGAAAAATTCTTAACTTTATCAATACGGCATAAGATTCTATAAAGTTTCTGAAGATTCGCGCGTCTGGCTCTGTATCTGGCGGCAAAAGGCCGCCATTTTTTATTGAAAATAAAAGGAAAATACCGTATAGTAGTAAGTACCGTATTGAATTTTCCCTGAAAACAACATTTTATTTGAAGGGCGTCGAATGTTTACTGCTATTTTAGGTACATGCTGCGTCAATATTTATTGTGTCTAGCGGAATTTTGTTTGTTTGGATTACGAATTGACTCTGTACAGTCGGTGTCAATACAACTTAATTAAAAGGTAACAAAGTTTAGTTGAAATTATCGCAAAAACACTTTATGAAATTAGCAACAAATCGAAATGTGCAATAAATTAACCGACTTTTTATTTGTATTAGGTACATTAACAGATTGTCTTTTCGTAGGCTTAATTATTAGTTTATTTACCTTTGTAACTGACTTTAAAAAAAGGAAAGTTCTCATTTCGGTTCGAAATTCATAACTTCAGTTGTAAATCGATTTGAAAAACTCTTTTTTATCTGAAAAGGTATACTTACAGATTTATCCTATAAACATTACATCAAAATCGTTTTAATAGTTTTATTTTTGAATTAAAATAATTATTTTTGTCACAACTGAAATCGGTTTTTTGTGGGACACCATTTTAATTATCATTAGATTTTGTTGAGACTCATTACAGTTATTACTTACTTAATAACTGACAAGTGATACCTCAGTATTTGTATAGAAATTCGATTGAACGACGTTTCAAATTCAACAAACAATTATATATATATTAAATTAAATTATTATCATGAAGACGTTTCGATAATATTACTAGATTCGATATATTCGATTATAAACTCTCCATGGGACAGATAAAGGAAACACTAGGCGTCATGTTGTATAGGGAGATAAAGGATATGGCCTGGGATTGAGCTGGCTGAAGGAAGATGCATGAATTAGTTGCACCGACAAGAGGAAACTCTTAAATGAAAAGAAAAACTCTTTCAAAGGAACGAGTTTAGAATCGGCAAATCGAAACAAATATATATACATAGATATATGTTTTCGTCGCTTGTTTCCGTACAGTGTTATTGTAATTTTCAAATTTTGGAAATTGAACTATTGTTCTTTCTACTAAAATGGAATCTATATAGTTCACCATCTGTAAGTATCATATAAGTATCTACGGATGTCACATTTTAGTCCTGGCATAGAATAGGTCATACTTTGCTTTCCCGTGGGTGTTGTAAGAGTCCTTTTTAAAACATTTCCGGGACCTGAGTGTAGTTGCCAATTCGATTTTTAAGCGTAGCAACTATTGGCATACCCCTCCCTCCCTATTGGCTTATGTTCATCAGTGAGTATAAGTATATATATATATATATATATATATATATATATATATATATATATATATGATGCAATCAAAAAGGCTGAACAGGTTGGTCACAAGTAGTTTTAACTGAAAATGAGTGATTAATAGTACTTTTCACTGTAAATTATTATAATTATTATTGATGTATTATTCGTCGTATTGTGCCGGCATAGAATGGGCTACTCCTTCCTTTTCCTTGGGCGTTGTGAGAGGCGACTAAGGGAATTTAATTGTCGAAGGATAAAAACACCTGGAGGAGAGATATTGTTAGTATGAGATAATGTTAGTAACCCCTTTGCTAGAAATATACCCTGTCACGTCGACCTGCACGCGATTACGCCTGGATCTCCCCATGGTTAAACGTTATTGAATTAGTTATGATGGGGAAAGTGACCTATTTTCATCCTCACCTATCATCCCTCACTGGTGCACCGCCAAAGTATACTGGTAATACACAGTGTGTACACTGAAAAAAAGTAAGTGTACATTGAGAAAGAAAGAAACCTGACTGGGTGGGACAGGTAAGATCCTGGCATAAATCCTGGCGAATTTCACAAAACCATGCATTGGTGAGTGTAGTAAGTATAATTAAGGAATCAATCTCCAGCACATGTTGAAACTAAATAAAGTACTTACAAGGTAAATAGGATATGCGAGCTCGAACACTTCACCTCATATTCACGGTTCTTCTTGTTCTTTGTCGCATAGGAGCTTGGAGTATGTGCTGGAGTTTAAATACTGGCTGTTGACACTGAGGTTTTTAGAACAATGTTTTATTTTTAAGTTTGTTCTATGTCAGATTTTTATAAGACATGTCTCGTATTTTTTTTTTTTTCACTAAACTTATTATTTTCTATCTCAAATACATATATGTTTTGTTACTGCATCCTGCTATTTACAATAGGTTATGGGCCCAGCTGTGTAAGTAGAAAATTTTCATGATATCTAACATGAGTAATTCGCCGATCTCCTTTGGAAAACTTAAAGGACCGGTGAACAATGTAGATTGGAAATTTGCTATTTACAACAGTAAGTATAATCTATTTCAATAGAACTTAATGGAAACGTAAGCAATTTATTCAATTTGCCCAACCATAAGACAGTCTAATCTAGTTCAATAGTAGTAAAAAACAAGTATAAAAATTGATTTAACTCTTCAATTTGTTTTAAATTTCGTTAGAGTCTTATTGTGATAATTTCAACCTAACTTCGGTTACTTTTTCATTTATCTCTATTGAAATAGACATTTTTTGTACTGAACACTCAGATCAGAAATCCGTATACAGCAATGAACGACAAATGGCTGGAATCTTGATAGTATGTAATCTATACTTATAATACATCTGTAGAGAGGTTAATTCTGTACATGAAATATATTTCCAAAATAAGTATCAGGAGGTGATTAGTGATTGATACTGATGTCAAAAATGCAATCAGTAAAATTTTTGTCTGTCTGTCTGTATGTTCGTTATAGAAACAAAAACTACTCGACGGATTTTAACGAAACTTGGTACAATTATTCTTCATACTCCTGGGCAGGTTATAGTATACTTTTCATCACGCTACAATCAATAGGAGCAGAGCAGTGATGGGAAATGTGTCTGTTACATCGAAACCACTGAACGTGAGGAAGGACATAGGTTACTTATTTTACGAAAAACAACGGAAACGCGGACGAAATCGCGGGCAATAGCTAGTAATATATAAAGCAGCAAAGTGTGTTTGTTTAAATGCATTAATCTCTGAAATTACTAGTCGAATTAAAAAAATTCCTTATGCATTTGATAATTAATTTCTTGAGGATGGTTATTCAACAATCATGATGCATCCACGGGCCAAGCCGCGGGATAGAGTTAGTTTTATATGAATATATACTAGAAATTAATATTAAGGATTTCAAACCGTAATATTAAGATAGGGACGTACCTATACGTACATGTAAAAGAAAGAGAAGAAACTAAGTGACATTTTTGGCAAAAAATCAAAATCAAAAAAGGTCAAATTATAGCAAATTTGAATGTAGCTATAATACTATTAATACTTTTAACCACAACAGCAAATTAGTGTTTTGCCCTTTTGAGGGCAAAGCAATAAGTTCTATCGTGATCATTTTATGTTACTGTGGCACACACACGAAAGGAAAACCTAATGTTACTTCTTTCATGTATTTTTCTTTTTTATATACATAATATGTATATGTATTACATATATAAATACTCAATTTTCTCTTTTTTTGTGCATGTTTATCTATGTCTGTTGTTATTTGTGTGCTTTAAGTGATGGAAATAAATTATATATCTATCTTGATAATTTTAAAATAAATAGGTATTATATATATATATATATATATATATATATATATATATATATATATGTCCATATTTATGTCTAAAATCACTCCTTTGTATGTTTATACACGGCCCTATGGTATGAAACCGAATTTGAAACCACATATAAGTACTTATATGTGGCAGAAACAGTTATTATTTTGTGTTATATATAACCATAAATGTTTTACCTAAAATTTCTGTATATAATATAAATTCGATGAATCGATTTAATTCGTTTCCCAGAATTATTTACATCAAAAACATAGCCAGGCCCCGAACGAAGCCAAAAAGCAGTCGTACCGTTATGCGAGCACGTGTTGCTGTCTCTTTTTGGCAGAAGAAAGCTGGGTATCTACCTGGCCTGCTCACTCTTGAATGGGACTACCGGATTGCGGATTCGATAAGAGCATGCGACCAGTTTTTGTTCGCAAACCACAACAAACATGAACTGAAGACCAATTCGAGGAGCCGATTCAAAAGAAATTTCGTTAGTCAGACTTCTGTAGGAAACCAACAGCCGTCGATCCTCTGAATCATGCTTTTTCGTTATATATATATATATATATATATATATATATGTATAATTTTTTCAAATATTATGTAAATACTAGCTTTTACCCGCAACTTCGTCTGACCGGGATATGTTTACTGATCGAGATAAAAAGTAGCCTATATTCTTATCCATCCCATATAATATGTGGACACCAAATTTCATAGTGACTGATTAAGCCGTAAATGGGCTCTAAGGTAACACAAACAAATTCACTTTCACA